AGGTATACTGAAACTTTTTACAAGAGCATGTAGTGACCGGACAAGGGGGAATGGTTTGAAACTGAGAGTAGGTTTAGATCGAATATCTGGAAGTTCTTGACTGCAAGGGTGGTGAGACATTGGAATGGGTTGTCCAGAGAATTTGTGGATGCCCATCCCTGGCAGTGTTCAAGGCAAGGCTGGATGGGGCTTTGAGCAACCTGGTCCAGCAGAAGCTGTCCCTGCCCACAGCAGGGGCATTGGAACTAGATGATCTTTAAGCTCCCTTCCAACCCAAACCATTCTATGATTCAATGACTGAACAACAGTAATTGAAAAGAGTTAAATGATGGATGCTTTATACAAATGATAATAAATATGTAACTACGACAAGAAAGTATTTCCAGAAATTATCTAGGAGTAGTCCCAATATAAAACAACCCCAAAACTTTTGGAAAGGGATTCTCCCCTCTCCAATCCCCAAACCTCAAGCTCCTCTGCTGCGGTCCCTAATGAGCTGCCTAATTAGTACTTACTTGTGCCAAGACTTTGAAGTATAACCTAAAAAATTCTGAAGTAGAAAAATCTAGCCACAAGCTGGACACTGTATAACAGTCTCCATGCAACATCTTGAAGATCAGATACATTTGTTTCTCAGGGTAAATAGCACCACAATGCAAAACACAAACAGTAAACATGAGAAAAATAATCAATAGAATATAGAAAATATTGAGTCAACTTTCTAAATAGCTTGCTGATGATGATCACAGAATTTTGTTAATACAAAAATGCTGAATTTATTGCTTTTGTCTATTTGTTGTTTTCCTTTAAATATTAGGATACTTCTACATATGATCTCTGCTAAGAAACCCAAGCAAAACCACTGGCACTGTTTCCCTATTCCTTTTGCAGTTTCTTATTTTTAAGGAAAATAACAATCGTAAGTGGTCATGGAATCAGGAATCAGTAAAAGTAGTAGCAAGAATACTGACAGTCTTTCCCCACCATGTGCTGTCTGATACAGGAAAGTTGATGATGGAAGACTGAATAGCCACCTCTCAAAGTTCTTTCAGAAAGATGAAAACCCTTACTTCTGATGAAGTATTTTGAAGATGGCTTATTAAAGAGAGATTTCTGTAATTTTTTGGTAATTCTACTATCAAAAACGTTGAATAGCCTAAGAAATTAATTTTTAAATAAAAAGGGCTTCAAAAAGCAGGGAAGAAAAACTTCTGAAAACAAAGCCTGACAAAATTGCTGCACTGGAAGTTATTAACAATGTTTAGTATATCTGCTGAAAAGTGATGGCTGTGAGACAGTGGCAAGACAGAATTTTTTAAAAATTGGTTTCAATAGCAATTACAGTCCAACATGAGCAACACATGCTGTCGATACATGAAGCTATTTCTTGCAAAGCAAGAAAAAAGGCCAATGCAGTTTGTATTTTATTACATTTTGATTTGTCTGTATTACAAAAACCACAACAAAATACCTTTAAAGTAGAAAGAAGCAACCAGAGCAGCACATGGAAACAATGAGAATACAGTAACACACATATGCTCCTCAAAACCACATTAGCCTTCCGTTTGCTGCTCTGCACGGCAGAAGAACAAGTCATGATTTCTGTTCTCATTTGCTGCAATTTACCCAGCTGGTACTGTCTTAAACAACAAAAATACTCTTTCCCTTCTACAGACTACTCAGAAGCTAAATTAATACGATTTTAAATTTAGAAGTTTTATGCCTTCTAAAGCCAGTCCAGCCAGACCTAGAAGATGCCATCACTCCCAGTCACCTACTGTTGTCCAGTATGAAAGGTTACCAGCTACTTCTGGCCCTTCCATCCCCCAGGTGACTCTCAGCAGTGAATCAGTTGTCCAAGTGCTCCTGGACCGTTTCAGTGACTGGTGAAAAGTGCAAGATTTAGCACACACCTTCCCACAGAACTAAGAGTATATAGGGTTCAAATTTTAACTTCCTTCCCCTGTGGCAGTATTTGAAAACCACTGCTAAAGTAGTGCCTTTGAATTATTATAAGTGTTAGGTTTTGCTAGAGATAGAAAAAAGTGATGTTTCTCAACAATCATTAACTATTACCAAGCTGCCTCTTTCTAAAGAAATTAGACAATTTCTTAACTCAAAAGTAGACCTCCACACTCCTGTGACAAAACAGAACTCCACACCAAAGCTTATCAATGAGGCAAGTGCATTTCTGGCGTTTCTGTCACAAAAAGAACAGAAGATGGAAACAGAGAAGGACAGTCTAAGTGACAGAGGTCCTCCTATCTAGGGGATATGAAGCAGGGTTTGGAGAGGGGGGAGGAAGTATCTAAGTATAACAATATAAGAAACAAGTCAATTACATCATTAATAATATGAAACCAATTTTTACACAATACCCAGTTAAGCAACCTTCTAAGCCACATACTGGCTTAAAGAAAAGTATACCAGAATGGAAAACCACACATTTACTGCTTCTGAATCTCTCCCCTTGAGCATCAACTGCTGTCTACACAGCAAATGAGAGGAGAGGTCCATATTACTTCACACGTTGCAAGGCCTTTTCAGTATTACATCAAGTAACCAAGGCACAGCCAATGCAAGAACCCTCAGTTTAAGTCATTTTCACCCTCTTTCAGCATAAGCATTCTGACCTGGCACACCAGGAGTCATTTCAATCCCTTTTCAAACTTGCTCTACAGCTTCAATCAACTGAAATCTCATTTCTCTGACTGCAAGACAGGAAAAACACGTGTTCACTTTTGTAAATATTAAGATCTGTTGTACTTTTTTATCTATAGAAGTTCAAGGCATCATGAATTTCGTGAAGTGCTATAAAAGCGTCTATAAATAAAGTATTTGTGGGATGCTGCTGCTTGTGTTGTCCCTGTTCTTTGAACAGCAGACGGTTTCTAGTCTTTACAATCTGCCATTTGCATTAAATTCATTTGCATCAAATGCATATGCATCAAATGCATTTTGAGAAACAAAAAGCTGAAACGAATCAGCATAATTCCAAACCTACTCATAGTCTAGAAGAGGATTTCTAAAAAGCCATGTTAAAACATATGTGCAAGGAAACATGAAGAAACCCTTCTTTAAAGAAAAAAGAAACCTAAAAATGTATTAGAGTGTGCTCCAGATTATGTCTGTATTTACTAATCTTCACTATGTTAGCAAATAGCCTCCTTTCTGCTCATATAAGCTCTGGCTAACATACATCATGATTACAGCCAGCCACGTTAGAATGCAAAGTCTACATTATTATTTGTGTGCAATTACTCTATTAATTAAGTTAATGAGTCGAGCACTGAGGTGTTCAAAATTATATGGAGACTAATGCCCACTGGGAATTACAAACATACGACATGTGCCAGTCACATTCCCAGTTCCTTTCCCATTCTGCCCCTATTCACATATGATTAAGTATCACAGACAAGTAAACTGTACCGGTCATTGGGAATTCTACCCAGAAGGACAAAAGAAACACTGCATGAATACTGAAATATATTCTCCTATTGAGACTCATCTCTCTCAAATTTTAAGTCTAAAAAATAAAAAGCCAGATCTGCAAACACAGAAAGAAATGTCAAACAAACCCACATATACACTTTCAGCTAACATTTAAAGTTCTTGGTTTATTAACTATGGGAGCTTATATTCTATCCTGGAGTACCAAGAGGGAATAAAAAAAAAAAAAAAACCAACAAAAAAATCAGTCTTGGTCTAGCAACTTCTCATTCAGAAGCTTGAGAAAATAAGTAGTCAACAAATGTCCAGCAAAGACGCTGATAATGATGATCCTTACAACTGCACAGGAATTAAAATTATGGCCAAGAAGTGACACTGTTTTTAACATCACAGCAATATACTATAAATGCAGAACATACGACAATAAAGTACATCTATTTACACCATTATAAACATCTACATGGATATATTTCCCATTTCATTCTACGAGCTTCCCTAGTAGGTAAGATCCCTTCTGGTACCGAGGTTCCCTCCATCAAAACTCAACCACTCTTACCTGAATTTGCCAAAATACTTTTACTTGATGACTTTATTAATTTATGACAGTAGCATGAATCTTTCTGCTCAACACACAAACTGGAACTCACTGAAGTGCATCAGAAAGCATATAATAAATATTCCCACCCACCTATCCCTAACAGTCATTTCTGAGCAGGAAAAACAGTAAAGCTGGATGAGTATTTTGTTCTCCAACATTATCTGTCAGCATCAAGACATGTGGTTTAGAGGCTGAAATACATAAGCTTTTCAGTACAACATTTTACATTTAAGCTAGTATGAATATTTTAAAGAAAATTTCAGGAAAACCACCTGAACACTAGATTCTAAATGCAGCAGAACTACTGATTCTGAGTTTCTGAATTAATGTGGGAAAGGGAGTGAATAATGATTTAATCGACCCCTTTCAAGTTGCTGTGCCTTGCTGGTGGGCAAAACAGAGAGCAATGCAGACGGAAAAAAAATCAGCATCTACAACACAATAATCAGTCAAAAATGGAACACTCCATCGTATACCTATAAAAAGAAACCACATAACAAAACAGCTGGCAGCCTTTGATTAAGCCAAAGGTCTCCTGACAATATAACAGGTTACTGACACTTAACTGACACGCCAACATTGACAGTTTGAGAGAAGGGACCTCTGGGAATTACAGAGAATGATAAAAACTACAGTGAACAACTGGAAGACAAGCCCAAACCTTTACTGTAACACTAGAAAATAAGACAGATGCACATCCCATGACCAAAAAAGGAAACAGACGAGTATTAAAGATTGTAGCAAGCAAATATTTATTTACTCTAAATAAAACTGACTTCCTTAAAAGCTTCTTCTTTTATCTTGTCAAATACCAGGGCAGTTGTTCACAGTCACTTTCCCTCAAAACCACCTATCATGTCAAAATTATGACGATCTAGAAAAACTTAAAGCACTCTTTAAAAGTCATGACAAATTAGTGTGAAAAAATGCTACATATTTTAATAATATTTACCTCATGGTCTTGGTTATCTTGTCCATCTTTGCCACTTTTTCCACTCTTGACTGATTTTGTAGGTTCCTTAAAAAAAAAAAAGTTTGCAGTCTCAGTTTTTCTAAAAAGAAGATCTAGACAGATTTTCAAGTCAAGAAATCAGGTCTTTTAGACACTCACTAAAAGTAATAAAATTGACAGAAAGAAAACTATACTGTTTTATTGGAAGACCTTAATACCGAACTATCAATCCCTACAAGGCTGCCTTAAACATTTTTTTTCTGTAGAAAGGCTTTGGAATTTTATTTATGCCTCAAAATTCACCCGTAAAGACAAGCTTTCCACAGGTGAGCAGGTAGAGACAAAGAATGCAAGTGATTTGAACCATGTCTGTGAACTTGCTCTCTTCAGTTTACAGCTTCAGAAATATTTATATTTAATTTAGCTTTGAAATCAGTATGAGTATAGTACACATTTTACACTTCATTATTTTGTCTATTCTAGGAACTAGAAAGTATCGTATTAGAAGGGAGCCCACAACTCACTTTTCTCTCTCACAGCATCCTACTTAACTCGCATCCTTCACCTTCAGCATACTTTTGACATACGTTACTCTCAGAAAAGTGAAAGAAAGTTTCAACGTTTTTAACGTCAAAGGTGCCAAGAATATTGGGAAAAAAAATTAAAGCGAACAAACCCCCACAAACCACAACACCCAACTTCCCTACGTCTAATTTTAAAGCGATGTTGACAAACTAAAAGACAAACAGGATCCAGCAAACGGGAGCGGTCGAGAGGGCCGGCAGCTGGATGAGGCAGACAGCACACTTCGCTGTCTCTGACTTGCACTCACATGGCTAATTGCCTCTCACACAAAACAGAGTGCGATCCAGCTAACTTCCTGCTGGATTTACAAGTTTTCTGCCATCATTACTCGTGCAAGCCCCTTTCGTGGCCGCCAGACAAATCCCACCCGGGTGCGGCGGCGGAGCCTGAGGCGAAGTGGGGCCAAAGATCCTCTCCTATTGTCAGGAAAAGGAGCTGAAAGACTCCCGAGAGGCGATTAGCGCTCCTGGGATACTTATGGAGATCCCCCAAGCACAACTCCCACCGCAGCCTGAGCTACGCAGCAGCCAAACTTCCCGTGATGGGGCGCGGGAGAGCAGCTGTGGGGAAAGACCCCCCACACAGCCCTGCCTGGAAAATACCCCTTCCCGCTCCCCAACACCCCCGGGCCGAGCCCAGCGAGACCTCCTCTCCCCGCTCAGCCTCCGTCAGCCGCGGCCGAGCAGGACACGCTTCCCATCCCCTCCCTCCCGCACTCCCCCGCACGCCGAAACCGCGGCCGCCCCCACCGAGGCGACACCGGGACCCGCATCGGCACCCCCGGCCTAGGCCCCGCCGGGAGCTGCCCCTTCCCCAGCGCCCAGCTCTGGGAGGAAGGCGGGGGCCGGCACACAGCTGTGAAGGAGGAGGGTATCCCTCGCCCGGCTCTGCCCCGCACCGGGGAGCGGGCGCCGCGCTCCGCTCGCCGCTGCCGCCCCCCGCCCCAGGCCCCTCCTCCTCCTCCTCCTCCTCCTCCTCCTCCCCGCGGGGCCTGCGCCCCACTGCCTCCCCACGGGGCTCGCCAACCCCCCAAACCCCTCCTCCCCGCCGCGACCCCCGGCCCGACTCACTTTCTCCTTCTTGTTTTTATTCGGCATGTCCGCGGAGGCGCAGCCCCCGCCGGCCCCGCTCGGCCCGCGCCGCGCCCGCGCCGCGCCCGCCCCGCGCTGCCGCCGCCGCCGCCGCCGCTCCCCCGCTCCGCGCCGGCCTCACCCCCCCTTCCTCCCCCGCCCGCGGGGACCGGACCGCGCCCGCCCATTGGCTGCGCGCGTCACGTGGGCCGCGCCTCGCGCCGCGTCATCCGCGCGGGCGGGGCTGAGGGCGCCCCCGCCCTCCCCCCTCCTCCCCGGAGCTCGGAGGGTCCGGGGCGCTCCCGGCGGGGTCGGGACGATGCCGGCGTGTCTGTTCGGGCCCCGGCCACGCCTCAGGGCGGCCCCGCGGGCTGAGTGGGGACAGTGGGGCGGGCTGAGGTGTCCTCAGTGCCCCGAGCCTCCGGCAGGCTCTTGCTCAGCCCGTGGGAAGCGGGGAATCGCTGCACGCCCCCCGCCCTGAGCCGCTCTGGGTAGTGAGAGACTCCGAGTGCCTGTCACTGGAGAGCGGGAATGTTAAGGAAAAAAAACACGAAAAAATCCTAACATAGGGCATACCCGACGCACGTTGGCCCTCTGGTAGAAACCCAGTGTGCCCGTCATCAGTTTGAGGACTTCAGAGCACGCTTGCAGTGTGCGGTGCGTGAGGAAAAGGTGAGCTCTGCGAAGTTGCAGCCTGGCTTCCTAACAGCATCTTTATCCCTTGTTAGCTTTTTAAAGCTTGAGTGCGGGTGTGTGTGTGTTTTCACGGTGCCCGCCTGTACCAGCGATAATTTTTTAAATTATCAATGAACAAATCGCTTTTTAATCTCTCAAAGGCAGAATGCAGAAAAGATCAGAACGATCTTGGACAAAAGAAATGTGTAGATACTTCATCTGGAAAATCTACAAATTGTATTTCTCACACTGCCAGATTAAGCCCCAAATTACTGTTAGCTGAGGAAAAAGTGCAGAGGACATTAATACTCATAATAATGCCAGGACATAAAGCATTTAAAATTTAGGTTGGACATACTTGCTAAATTCTAATTGTGCTGCACTGCTAAAGGACAGAAAAATTACAGCTTAATAAATACAGCATAAAAGTGAAATTGATCTCCTTCCTTACCCAACCTGTAAGTATCAAAGCCAGTATGAGCAAACAGCTATACTCTCCTTTTTGGGAACTGGGATTTCTAATAACCACTTGTGTCTGATGGGATGATATCTAACATCAGCTTGTATCCATTATATTTGAACACTGCTTTTGCTGTGGCAAAAAGGACAAAGAAACTTTCCCTTTCCCAGGCACTGCAAAGAAGTCTACTCACTATGGAGAGCTGCTTCCTCTTACTTCAGTCCCCTTCCTTTCCTGATTCTTAAGTGCTGGAAAACAAATCATGTCTGCCTCTTATCCTTTCCTTAATCTTCTCTGGTTTGAGGGTTTACAAATGCAGTGCAGTTATCACTATTGTGCCTCTGTTCATAGCCAGTCATGAATGAGTTACTACTAATAAATGAGGTTTCTGACCGACAGAATAAATGGATTTTGGGCATACTAAATGAGAGTAAAGGAAAGAAATCTACCTCCATCTGTAGTCTGGAGTTTGATCAGTGTGTGAAAGGGTTTGTACAGCTAAGAATAAACTCAAGAGCTTCCAGTTTTTTGTTAGGTTTCAGTTTTGTAGAAGCTTAAACTACTCTTAATTCCCAGCTGTTGTGCTTCTATCTCTCTCCTCTGCACTGATGCTGGTACTGTGCAGCTCCTTAAACCTGTTCACAGAATTGATCAGGTTGAAAACTGTCCTCCCAAGGCAGTGTGTCGGTTTGGTTTTGGTTTGGTTTGGTTTTGCTTTTTTTTTTCCTTTTTTTTTTTTTTTGCCTTGAACTGGCACACCACCACCTGCTTCTGTAAACACTAGCATTGGCTGAAGGAAGGGGGTGGAAATATGCGGCGGGGGCGGGATGTGACCTCAACAGCCTAGATTTAGATCAGTTTAAGCAGCTTAATGAGATTCTCATTGGCTCTTGGCCTCCTTTGTGCTTGCTAGTGCTCATAGTTTTTCCAAATAATGGAAAAACTCTGTCAGTATCGATGTTACCCAAGTGCTTCTGAATTGCAGCAGCTAAAATTGTCTGTCCTTATGTTGCAGTTACCTGAGAAACCTTGAATCAATCTGTTGGACTGAATACAGGTTCAAAAGATGGTGCTGACTCAGTTAACATTTAGGAGGTTTTCTTTGTGACCACAGATGTAGAAACTCTTGTGAAAACTTGACTCCCCCTCACTGCACTTGCTGCAGAGTCTAATTCACCAGTAACAGAAAGCAATTGTATTTTTCAAGGCCTGCTGTATTAGATGAAATAGTGGGTGGAGGAGGTTTACAAGAAAAATAGTTCCATCTGCATGCTCCAGGGTCTTCATAAAACATGAGAATAAGACAAATGACTTACACAATGAAATCTTATTTTTACTACAGTGGTACATCACTGTGGGCCTTATTATTCTGCTACAGAGTAGGATTAACTATGTAAATAAAGTGATGTAATATGAGTGTGAATATGACTATATTAATATTTGCATTAACTTCTGAACATTTCATGCAAACGAGGTGTTTTCGAAAATGAGAACAGATGCAGACCTCTCTCTGTAATTAAAATGTCAAAAACGAATGCATGTAGGATAGTTTCCAATTTGTGTTTTTTGCTGTACTGATTAAATTGTCTAAACTTGCAAAAGTTAAATCACCAAATAATGTCAAATATTGTGTAAAACACCTGGATAATATTTAATAGCTTGAAACTGGGCCAAGTGTCCAGGATGCCAATATTTACACAGTTAGTCCTTTCCAGCAGTATTGGATATTTTGCTTTGTTTTGTTTGCTTTTTCGTTTATTTTTGTTGTCACACTCTGACCTGAGTTTATTGAACAGATCACTGTCACTGTGATGGATGACATCTTCCATCCCCAGTTGTATGACTTTACTGCTTCCCATGCACTGTCTCTAGTTTAATTGGGTGTTATTCCAGTTCAGCTTGTTAAAATGGCAGAAAACTAACTGAGCAGTGAGACAGGAGACAATGAGACCTTTTGCTAGGAAGCCGTTAATTTGGCTCAGCTGAAACTGTGCAACTGCACTTGTGGACAAGGTTTGAGAAGCCAATGAACTGTCATCATTATACATAGTTGTCAAACATTGTCAGGCTGTTTCTCCAAACATCTCTTCATTGACTGAAGCAGATCTCTTCCTTTCTGGGGCTCTGTGTCAGATGTAGAGGGAATTGAAAATGGAAGCACCACTGCCAGTAAGGAGGCTGGAATAGATGGGTTGAAATTTAAACCAATTTTTTTCATGCTTGTGCTGACCAAACTACTACTTAAGGTAACTTTCCTGTCAGGAGCAAGTGAAACTGCCAGATTATGTCTGAAGGAACTAACTGAGAGAATAAACTACTTCATCAGCACCTGCAATAGACTCTGCTTCCATGCAACCTAGCATCAAAAGCTGCAAAACCAGTATGTTCAAGTTCCAAAGGAAGCTTAAACATCTTTCAGGAACTTTCTCCACTAGCATAGATTCATTCTACTTACCCTGAATTACATTAAATAATTATGTTAAATAATTCTTGTGCTGTTGTCAATCTAAATTGTAAGGCTCTAATTCTCAACTCTTTTAAAATCCATTAGTGTTGGATATCCTGCTGTCACAATCTGTAGTGTTGTAAAGGTTGCAAAACAATTTATTCAAAGCTGTGTAAAAGTCAGACTCTTTTGAGGTAATGAGTAATGGGTCAAATTTGGAGCTTCATGCATGTAAACAGCATGATATTTTAGCTCTGTGTGTGACCACATGGTTACAAATGGCAATTATTGGCATCACTTAACACAGAACTAGAGATGCACATTCAGAACCATAATTAATCATATGTATGTGTAGTAGTGTCAGTATTGGATACCCTCTAGCTGTAATACTGATGCTACTGATACTACAATTTGGACTGGTAAAAATTTTGAAAAATATTTAATTATGCTATCTAAATCTCAAATTTAAGAATTTTCAGTGACCATGGAATTATTACATTGAAATACAGATTCCTTTGAGTTTTGTCTGTTCTTAATCCATTTCACTCTCTTCCTTGCCTCTTAGGTTTAAAAAAATTGATAAGATTTCATTTGAATGTAGTGAACAATATTATCAATTATTTAGGCAATGATAGCGTTATAAAGAAGGTTTGCTAGGAGATTTTTTACTTTAAAAAGAAAAAATCATGACTCTCTTTCCTTCAGATAAGTAGTGAAACTCATGTTACACACCCTTTTCACTAAGATCTCTGAGGCTTTCTGGCAAAACCAGAAGTCACCTTGCTTATCTTCTATTGGGGAGCAGCAAGAGCTGTCTCATGAGAGAGAAAGAGCTTGAAAAAGAACATGGTTACAGCAAAGACAAGGTCCTCTCTGTCCAGAGTACCATCCCAGTAGGGTCAGCATGGTGATAGTCACCAGTCTGAGACAAGGCAAGGTCAAAAGTCAGCAGTCCATCCAAGAAATCCACTAAGGAAAAACAGGAGACCAAAATGGAGACAAGACTTCCTATAACACAGATCTGAGCTTCAAGGAGACAAGCCCAGAGAGAGGACTATTATAACATAGGTTTAAAGTTCATCCAGGAGACCAGGGCCAGAGAGAATGGTGTACCTGCAATGTACACCTGAGGTCCACTTAGGAAAGTCAGTCAGTAAGTCGTGCTGTAAAGAGACAGGGCTGGATGGAGACACAGCTCTGACAGAGTGGGCCAGGTTTAGGTGCACAAGCCAGAGCTTAAATAGAGCTCCTGGACCACTTGGAAATGCTACCACATATGGCTGATGACTGACCTGCTATTATATGCCAGTAACCATTGTCCGTATTAATTAACACGTGGATTCTGGATTTCTGTTTGGGCCAATTTAATTATAAAATGAATGTGAAAAAACATAAATAATGAGGATGGAAAACTCATGCAGAATGTTACTAAGGCATTGTGCTGGTTTTAGCTGGGATAGAGTTACATTTCTTAACAGTAGCTTCTAAGGGTCTAGCTGTGCTTTGGA